CCTGCTACAGCGTCTGGTTATCTGGCCTGGCAGCTGAACCACTGCAGTGAGATGTTGCCTTTAAGACTGATCCTCCCAAACTGAAGAAAAAACTCATCAAAGCTGAATTTTTCCTTCAAACCCAAACAGCTCCTGCAATCACTGGAGCTGCACTCAGGCACCGGAGCGGTTGTGATATCCCCAAGGCCCTTTGCTCAGTTTCTCTTCCATCTCCTGTTGACGAAAGCGAGGGTGCCCCCAGGACATGGGATTCCCATCCCCATCTGCCCACCAGGAAGCTGTCCCTCCAGCAACAGATGCTGTTGTTCTGCACCATCAATCCCTTTCAGGAAGGACAGGGATTAGATGGGGGTAACATGTCTTAAGGTAACTTCTCTAAATGGCATTTCACTGGCCCGGCTTTACTGTTAGTCGCTGGCGGGGGGCTGCGATGCTTCAGCTCGCTCTGCAGCCCCAGAGGCCCCATGCCAATGGCATGGGTCTCACTGCAATGGCCAGAATGGCTACAAGTCCTATCTTTAGCCCAGAGCAGATGGAGACGTGGGCAGCAGTGAGGCGCTGAGAAGTCATGTAGGTAACAGGACCCCTATGCAGAGGTACGACACTGGTGCCGCCTTTCACATTCCACCAGACAAACAGCTAAAGCTATAGCACTTGCTATACAGAGAAGGAGGCGATGACCCCAGTTTAAACAAACACTACCAGGGGCTGCATTTTGGATGAAAAACACTGCCATGGGCAAGTGCAAGGAACAAAATCCTGCTCTCAAGGGTTTTGAAGTAGAGAGGGTTTTTCCACTGCCAAATTTAGTATTTTCTTTTTCATCTAAACTTTCTCTGCATCCTGGCAGGGAAGAGGAAACAGAAGGAGCTTTTCAGCTGGACGTGGCAGCCTCTCACTCAGCCAGACCTGGCAGGAGCAAAGGTGCTGAGTTAAAGGATAATCCTGAGCAAAATCCATCCCTAAGCAAGGCGACCGTTCCAGACCTGCAGTAAGGAGGTAGCAGGGGTGCCAGAACCACGTCTAAGGTGGACCTGGGCCCTGCGTGGGGCTGCTGCCAGCGACTGCTCTGGCAGGGCAGCAGCACCTCTTTGCTTACAGCCAAATGCTCCTGCTCACTGGATCTTGCGCATGGACCCTGCCTGCACATCTGGTGCCTTCTGCTGCTTCACAGGGCCCAGCTGCTATGGCAGGTACTTGAATAGTGCTGACCAGATGGTCTGACTGCCCCGCTGCCCTCCCTCCCCCATTATCGTTTGCTAAGATCTTGCTGCTTCTCCTGGACAAGGGACCTTCATTTCTTCGTATCGCTTGAATCTCTGCATTACCTTGAGCTTTGAGATGAGTATATGGCCCACCTATAGGCAGTGCTTACAGGAGAGCTGCTGACTCCTTACGATTGATCTGCACATCAATGATGGAGTCATTCATACTCTTTCAAAGGGGTCCAAGTTGTGGTTTGTTTTGCCCCCATCCCCTGCTCTTCTCTTCTCACCTCCACCTTGTAGCACATGTAGAGTTCAGATTTGTTCTTATACTCTGCAGAAGACTCCAGCATCACTCAGTGTAAGTTCACTTCACATGAAGCTCAATGCTCCTTGCTCTCCAGATGTGCAAGCTGCTGAACTTCCCTTGTAAGCAGGCCAGCAGCTCTGTGCACCCTATAGAGGCAGGTTTAGCATTTGTTCTCCTGTTTCTTTCTGCAGAGGATGGCCCAGTTCCTGTAGGGAGAACAGATACTGAGGAATATCCTGGATTTTCTGCCTTTCATCCCCACGCTTCTATCCTCAGAGGTCAGAACTACTGCAATGGTCCTGGAGTTGCTCCACAAGGCTTTTTTCCAGCTCCTGGATGGGTTTCCACATAATGAAAAGTCTCATCTGAAATGAGAGCATGTGGCTGGCTGCAGCTTGCTCACTGCTCAGCTACCTGGGGCTCGTGCTTTCCTGCCTAGAGTTACAAAAGTAGAGCTACAGCTCTGAATGCAAAGTCTACAATGAATAAAGGGAAGACGAGGACATTGGATATATAGGTCTAGAGCCATGGACGGGAGGGCTTGCAGTATCGACAAATGATTTCAGGCAGTATAATCTTTACTAATTTGAAAAAAATGTCTGTTTCCGTCTTTGAATCAGTGTGTGGCTACTGGTGTCACCAGGTCACTAAGGAAGTCTGCAGGCTCCGACAGAAAGCCACCACAAAACCCCTGCTTAACCAACAAACAGCTGCGGACCTCTTCTGTGCACGTTCAGCTCAAGAGGTGGCTTGTCTTTCTTCAGTCTGAAGTTCAGGAGCACGTTTCAATCCTTTCCGATAAGCAAGTTTTTGATTTTTATTTAAACATTAAGAAACTCCAGCTCAGAGGCATGTTGACACTTAGTACTGTAGCAGGGATGTGGGAGCAGGGAGAGATGAAAAACATTACTGTACTAGGTTTGAGAGCAGCTTCAGGCTTAAGCTACTGCACACTACTCCTTACTCTTGTAAGTTTACAGGCAGCTGTAGTAACTTCTTCATGTAGTATTCCCTGGGGAAGAGACTGAGGAAATTAGTTAGTTACCAAAAAACCAAGCCTAACGCTATTGCTTTGAACTGAACAAAGGTAAATACAGTGAAACCACCTCTCACTCAGCTGTTCTGCTGCAGTCTAGTTTGAGTGTTCAAGGGTGATTCATCTACACAATATGACTGTGAGAGAAAAATCAGATTTCTAAATTTCTGGTGGTAACTGAAGCACAAGAAACATCTTCAAGCCTTGGGGAAAAAAAATCGCACAGGAGAATGGACCTAGTCCCACACCGCCTTTCAGCAAAAAGCAACAAGCACAAGGGGAGGGGATGTTTCTGATCAGACATACAAGAACCAAGGCCAAAGTAGTAGGAACTGCAGAGTAGCATTAACACTGGATTTAAAGTTCCAGGTAAGCTTAAAGCTCATTCAAAACATTCTTCAGGTAGTACAGCAAACAACCGATCAGCTTCTCCTCTGCTCTGCCATGGTTAGCAGATGTGACAGCTGTCACAAATTGTTTGTCCCCCGCCCCCACTATTTTTTTAAAAAGAGACTAGAGCAGACATCCGCCTCACTGCAGACAGGAGGATCTGTTCTGTAATTTACAGAGGAACAAGGCAAAGCCTGTACCATGACACACTATCGTTTTTAGTGTTACTTGAACAGCAGCTGATGAGAACTAGTCAAGACTTGCAGGTTTTGTGCACGCCACAGCACGGGGTGGGTGGTGGGGGGTAAAGGGGGGTTGTAAGCTTAAGTACAAGTTGACAAACAGCACTTAGCTTATCTCAAGAAGAAACTTGAGCACTCTCTCAGCAGATGACTGAGCTGTAAATCATGTTATGTATAGCCCTAAAAGTATCATTAAGACAACTTGAAATAGTTTGTATTAGATAAGAAAATTCTTGGCTTGCAGCTATATAGATGAAAACATCTTACAGTCCTGTATGGATGCTGTATCCATCTGAAAAGCTTCCAGCTGTGTTTTAGAAGGGCTAAAGTGTCTCATAAAAGCACCCCCAACAGCCTTAAACTCAAGACTAAGTTGATAATTTGTAAGAATTTAAGGCCTGAAGCTGAACTTTATTTACTTAGGGATGTTTGCTCCTCTGTCATATTCTGGTTTCTTGGCATAGGAGGGTTACTGGTCTAGGGTGTGAATGGCATGAAACTATAAATTTATAACAGGGAAGAGTGTGGGGAAAGTAAAGTTTTTTTGTTGATGCTTAGGTGAACTGTCACACAGAACTATAGAGTCTGGGGAGGGGGAAGCATCTGAAAACAATTAAATCATATTTACAGGGATGGAGTGTTTGGGTTTTTGTTGGGCGGGGGGGGGGCTATTTCTGAGTTTCACTGGTTGGTATTTAAGATTTGTACCACTTTCACTGGTTTTGATTAGCAATCAGTCTCTGTTCAACTATGAGCTTTAAGTTTGCCAGGAAAAGGGTAAGCAGACTGAAACTTTGAACAACAGTGGAGTTCTCTGGGCATGCGTTTTTCTTAGTCTCTTCTACTCCAAACAGTACATGAGATATCCACCTCAATTTTGACTTGCAAAACCAAATCAATACATGTCACTGAAGAACAAGTAATACAAGTAGGACAGAGAAGTGAGGCTATTGGAATCAACAGATCTGTGAATGCTGTTATCTGAAATATTGTGACAAGGTAGAAACTGAGCAAGAACAGAATATTTAACCGGACTGCTTCCCCTGCCCCACGTCCATATTTCACATACCCCTCACCCCGTATGTTTAGCCTATGTAAATTTAAAAGCCCAAAACGAGCGGTTATTTTCAACCTGAAGGGCCAGCAGGAGAAAACAAGACACACCAGGCTGGCTTTCCATAGAGTCTACTGAAGCCAGAAAGAAAGCAATCGAAACTCATGGACAAAGTGTTTTGATGCTAACTTTAGTAAATAAAGTTTTCCAGATAAAGGCAATTGCATCCATATTTAACAGCTGTTAAAGAGATACACGTTTAATTGCATTATATAAGGGGTGCTTTATATTCAAGAGGGAACATTTCAAGTGTTTTAGTTCTACCTGTTTGGAATCCAGACTTTCTCCCTAGAAGATATTCCAGTTGACAAAAGGGCCTTGTTCAGATATCTGGGATCAACTGAATACATTTATTTAAAAGCAATCTTAAATATTAAAAAAGTAGAAATTAACACATACAGTACTCAAAAACTGTCACATTAAATACATGTGAATAGACATGTGTACTGATGTTTTACCTTAACATTCAATGAGAAGTCAAGATTTTAACTAGTGGCATGACCAGATCTGATTTCTGTACACGTTGATGTACTATGTAATAAAAAAATAAATAGCAACTGTTGTTCAACAGTAAATAAGACATCATCTGCAGAGCATACTTCCCCCTCTGGGGGCACCTTCCCCTGCCCCTCCCCCCAACCCCTTATCAGCTAATTTTCCATAAAGATTTAGACTTTCCAAATACTATGTCATGTACAAAATTGCAGACAGTGGCTCATTGAGTTCAAATATAATACTGTACTTAAACTCAATCAATATCATACATTTTCAGGTTTCTTATGACCCACAATAAGCCAGAATAAACAGAACTATTGTTCCCAATGGAACTCATTTAATTTTATAAAATGCATATGTATACTATTTTAAAGAGTGTAGAAAAGAATAGACATTTGACTCTACATAATTTTACATGCCTAGGTTTTCTTTATATGATTTGCTTTTATCAGTTTATTTCAAGATCACTTAAAAATACAATTGACCACAAAAGTGAATAGGTTTTGTTCTTTAATGCAACTTAAAACATTGTAGTAATGGATAAAATGGAATGCTAGATAAATGCTAATTCTGACTTCCTTTCCATAGAAAACAGAATAAAGTCTGAAATACTGGAGCTGGTAATACTGAAGATTAGATGCCAGCAGGCTCGCTCACTCATTGCGTAATTTTTTTTTTTTCCAATAAACTTTTGTTATAAATGATAAAACATTAACAGTTGATAAATATTTTGCATTTTTTCCATGTGGGTTTAGGACTGATATTTGTTTCTATATTAACCACAAACAGAATTAAATATTCACTGACTACAGTCTTGTCAAACTGAATTAAAAATTAAAGCCCCCAGAAAGTCTGAGATGTGTTTTTATGAAATGAAAACCTTTCCATGCAGCCACGACAATCTGCTTTGAAATAGCAGTACTAGGTACTGAAGCCAAAATAACATTTAAAGCAAGTAATACAAAACTACATATGAAAGTCATGGAACCTGCTACAGACAAACTATGGGAAAAAACACAACTGCATTATGTTTCAAAGTTAAAAAATGATGTTGAAAGTGACATAGGAAATGAAAGTTTTCAGTAATACATTTAAGTGTTTTCTGGCAATGCAGCTTTACACCAACTTTCAAGAAACCTCAGGTCAAATGCAGCCTTCCAAAGATTTTCTTAGAGATTAGCTTTATAACAGTATGTCTGTTACTTAGTGCTTTGAATTAAGACTATTACAGTTACAGTTTAGTGAACTCTACTATCAAACCTGATACTTGTGATCTGAGCTCTATCATTAACAGCCTGATCAAATGCATGAGAGGTCATCTTAACTTCCACTTTTTAGAGCAATTAAAAATAATTTAAATTTATCCTTATATCACCACTTAAGAAATTTTATTTTAGGTAACTAACTTTTAGCAAGGTTGAAGACAGAGGAAAAAAAAACCCACAAAATCATTTTTCAAAGAGCCAATTTAGCTATAAACAAATACTGTTGCAAGCTCACATTAATCTGAATAGCAATTAAGTTAAAATGTTCTTTTCTTTAAATGTAGCTATATGACTACAGTACTACTTTTGTACAAAGGCAGGTTTCAAGTAAGCGTCTAAATGCATGCATAATGTCAACAGTTAACATTTTCTAGAAGTCCTTGGTTACTAAGAATTCAGTGAAAGAAACCAGCAAATTTCACATTTATCTACTAAAGAACAATATGACTAATTTTCATTAAAATAAGTTTTCGAATGAAATAAATTTGTAACTTTTTATAGTGAGGTAATATCACAGGGGAACTGCAATCACAGTTTGGCATAGGTCCACATAATATAAACATAAAATGCTGTATGCACACCGTAAAACATTACTGTTATCTGTAAAGTCAGTGAATATTTGTCTTCATAATTACACTTAACTGAGCACTATATTAAATAAATACTGAAGTGGGTTTCATAGCTGTAAACTGCATACACTTATAAACTGCAGACTGATTTTTAAATTGTCCAAAACCATTCACTCATTCTAACTTTCTGCTAATTGTATATTGAGAATACCGAGTTATTAGGAACAGTCATTTCTGTACAGTTACATGGCTGACAGAGACCACCTATGGTTGGAAAGCTGGCAGTTCATATGTATTTTGAACAGCATAGACAGAGACGTAAGTGCTAGATGCCGAGGATGGCTTCAACAAACCCAATAAGGCGTGCCAGGTTCCAAGGCTACCATAATACTGGCAAAGGCAGAATAACACAGTATATTTACAATACATATAATTCAACCTCATGAGGTGAAACTTAAATGAATTCGTAATTTGTAACAGCAGCTATATATACAATTGTGCACAGGATTACAGGGAGGCAGCAGCGTTCGCTTTTGCTAAAAAGCCCGTCTTGCATGAAGAATGTGCAATGCTCAAGTTTAGGATTTTTTGTTCGTTTGTTTTTACTAGTCTGACAGAATGTGCACAAAGGACACTGGAAAGACCCCTTTCCTCTCTGGCTGTCCTTCGATGTGGCCAATCTGTAACACAGGAGAAAAACGTACATATATATATATATGTGTGTGTGTGTGTACACATGGAGTTCGTAGACTGCATTTACTTCATTCAAAAGCAGCAGAACTGCACGGATCCTACAGAGCCTTTGCAAGTTCTTGGACAGTTTAAAGCAAACCTTAGTTAACATTTGAATTCATGTAGAGGAACAGAATAAAACCAAACAAGCATATTATAAGTAAGACAAATTAAGCCAACTAAATCTAAAGAGAACAAAACTACAATTTTATTTGGAAACCTCCATACACCACCTAATTTCAAGAATCTCACCACAACAGAAGCCTGATTTTCTTTTATCTGATAGACTAACCTTCAGTAACAGGATATACATCTCTGAAAACCATTCATCTTAGTTAACTGAATAAATCCTAAACTCCTCACTTAAGGGAAATGTCTGCTACAGTTGTGAAGTTACTTATGATAATCTGCGTGCTTCACTTAAGTGATAAAGGCCCAGCTATTTTTTCATTGAATTAGTATGGATCCTAATGATTTATGTGCATACTAGTGTTAATTTATTAGTTATAATAAATCACAGTATTGTTTCATTAAGTATCCCTCATGTACAACTTTTTACGTTTTGCATAATAATTTATAAAGAAATAGCCAAGCAACTTCTAAAAAAAAAAAACCAGCACCTTCTATATGAGCTTTACATGTTTAAAATGCATAATTATAAACAACTGTCAAACTGATAGCACTGGAGTAGCAGTCTTGACTGACCACATAACCCTCTTCTCATCCTGCTACAGTGCTGCTCACTTTCAGAATAATAGTGTACCTCCTTCCTCTTGCACAAGCTAACAAAATGGGAAGGGGAAACATGCAGGGCTGGCCATTTCCTCTTGTAGAGCCAAATTTTTGAAGCGTATGAGTCAACAGCCCTCATTTCCCTTCTCAGAAACACTCAGACTGGAGCACTTCATGGAGCTTGTCAGGCATGTACCCAGGGATCTTAAAAAGCTACTTCACAAAACAGATTCAGCAACTAATGCAACTATAATCAGGGACTGGATGATATGGTTAATACACCAGCTTTTCACTGGGCATTCCTCTTTTGATACCATCTTTTCAGTTGAAAATCTTCCACACTTAAATGATGAGCGAGAAGAAACCGTGTAGCTAGAACCAAAACAGCAAAGGCTGCACTGCACTTAGATTAGGAAATCATAGGCAGCATTGCGATAAGAATTTGTTTTAATCAAAATGAAAACTGTCTCATTTTCCCCAGTAATAATTCTTAGGCAGGGAAGTATGATGTAGCAGGGCTTTGGAGGCAAGTAGTAGAGTGTCAAGGGAGGGTTGGAACCTTCCAGTGGGATTGAGAAAAACCTGATGTTAGTACTCAAGAACCAAAGAACAATATGCAGTCCAGAGTAGGGGGGCACGGGAGGGAAGAAGGGAAAGAAAATGTTAACTACCTCTCATTTAAGGAGGAATACCATCAGCTTACAGCACTGATTACAGATAGTTTTTCAGACTTCCAGCAACCCCTGTAGAGTAACTTAACATTTCTGGTGAACTGAAGATAATTACATATCTCATTTTTCATGAAGAGTGTAAGCATGCTAAATGGAGTAAAAATCACCACCTCTTCACTTAATGAAAGGCTAGTGTGCGTTACAAAGAGTGACATATGTAAATACGTGTTGTTTTGAGCCAGCAATAAAGCCAAACCTGGTCAGGTTCTAGTAGACTCCCAGGAAGAGACAGACCCTACCAGAGAAAGGGGGTCTTCTCTAATATCAGTTTAAAGGCTGGATGTTAGCTCAGACAAAAAACTCCCAAAACTCAACAAAATTAAAAAAACAACACCCACAAACCAAAACAACAACAAACCCCCAAAATTTGGAAAAAAGGCTTTCCTTTACGAGTCATAAAGAAGTTATGTGGAACCATAAAAGGAAAAGATACATACCCACCACTCTTGGTCCTCTTCACCGGTTACAATAATTACTTCTCCTTCAACAAATGTGAGCTCATCATCATTATCTGCCTGACAGTCATAAATGGTCTTCACTCGCCTAACTTTGTTTTTCCCCTAAAAATAGAATGAAGTTTTAGATAAAGGACATGAGGAACAACGAAAACACATATATATGATATGAATTTTGCCTTTTAGTTTTATTTTACAAGACGGTGAAGACTACCAAATTGCTTTCCCTGCAATCAGGAACATAAAATCAAAACCTCTGCTTCAACAAGGATATTAAAAAAAAAAAAAAAAAAATTACCTATTACAGGTATAGGTTTTCTTCTTCTTAAGACTCAGAACTCCCAAGAGACTTTAATGTGTAGTATACAGCTTAAGTAACCTACGCTTCCTCCAGTAAAGAAAGTTTAAATAAGATCTTTACATTGTTCCAGTCCACAAAAACCCTCTTTCTCCTTTAATACCTATTTCATTAAAAAACCCACCATGAACAGAAAATGAAATCCAATCTCCTCCGAATGTTACAAGAGTGTTTAAGGGCTGAGGAAAATGCTGCATTGAAATCCCAGTATTCCTTACAGTTCTGGTTTTGGATCTAGTACAAAAATACAGTACCCTTTGATTTCAGATCTGCTTATAGGACTGGAAGTTATTTTTTTTGAATGATTTTTCATCCCGTATGTTAGCAATTTCTTACTAAAAGAATCTTAATTTCAGATGGCAGTACTGTTTTGTGATCATAATTCACAATAGATATTCTCTCAGCTCTACCATTCTGAGTCCAAGTATTTTCTAGGTCACACTTTGCTGCATACTGCTAATTCATATGAAAAAGCCTGAGCCATGGACTCTTCCCCAAACATATGTTTCTCACGGCAGGGAAAATGCTTTAAATTATTTCCAAATAGAGTAAGGAAGCAATATTCACAGCAAAACACTCCTGCTACTTTATATTCCTGTATTTTCATACCCACATTTCTTCAAAAACTACAATTCCTTCTTTGAACAGAAGTAGTCAGATAAGAATGCAAAAAACCAAGAAGAGAACAAGGAGATGAGAAGCAGAAGGGCTACGAAGGAAAAGTCAGCAGGTTTAGAGGAATTTGAGCCAGAAGTAACTTCACAGAGGAAATTTCCTAGGGAGCCTTTTCTTTGCTATTATCTACCGACTTGAAATACCTCCGTGTTTTGGCAAAAAAAATTCTGTGCAGATCAACAGCAGAACAGACACACAGCAAAGAGCATTCATACTAAACTCAAGGTACAGAAAAGTAACAATTATAGAGGGATCTAAGGGACAAAGCAGTTAACAACATAAGACTAAAAAAACCCATACTCAAGACAAATGAACAGAAATACCTGAAGTGAAGGTATGAGATCAAAGGGTTTTTTACAGCAAGGGTTTGCTGCAGCAAGAAGTTACTTCAAAGAACACTTCCTCTCTTTTTTAAACAAATTCATATAATTTGAACAAAAATCGCAACTATCACTAGGGATTGGAATTCAATATTTGGGGCCAGTCCCAGCTTTCAACTCCAGAGAACCTTTACAAACGAAGAACACTTCCAATCAATCCCCCGGTGATGAAGGGAAGGCAACTACTTCTGCCAGATAAAAATTGTCTCACTCAATAAAGAGACTAAAGAAAGTTAAATTCCTCTAAACTTAGAGAACTGTATGCAACTCAGCTTGTAAGAACACGTGAAAAATGATGGCAATTGCTCCTGGTTCCTTCTGATTAGTACCACAGATGGCATTTTAATATTCTATTCTGTTCACTTAGAAGAGCAGTAAAAAGGAGAATTCAAGCCCGAGGTGTATTTAATCCTGGGAACGTTTAAAAAAGGATGGATCTGAAGAGAGTATATATTTTCCAGAACACAGTCTGGGGCACTGGTGTGTAAAGAAATAGAAGCAATTCCAGGACATGTAATTTGCGACTATAGAACAAGTATCACCCACCCCACGCCCAACTTCTTGTATCCAATATTAGTACTTATTAAGAAGAGAGTTTCATGCTTAAGACTGAATAATAATCAGCTGCTGTAGTCATTAATAATCCATGTTCTTATTTACATTCAACATTTAAGAAGAAATACTTTGTCTCCTTTATAGAAAACAGACACACACAAAAGAACACTCAAGTGCTCAGTATGATTTTAGAAGTGCTCAGAGCAAGTTTCATTTCTCTAAAAACATCCTTTCAAGTCCTTATATATTAACAGCATTGGTATTTTTTACCTAATCATTCTGAACAATTGATTTTCTAAAACTTCCAATAAAAAAACTTGTGCTCATCTATTTAGTGGCTAAATTGTCAAAACGAAGAGTGAGGTACCCACAAGCACTAGTGGCTGCTGTCACGGGTCTTACTGTTGTACTGTGCTGTAGCATTCACCAGTTTGTGCGGAGAAGATATAGCCAGAGGATGAAAATGGAGGCAAGATACATTTAAGAGGAATTCTTGCACATTACTACTTGAGCAAAAAAGACTGCAGTGAACAAGAAGAGATACACGTGTGCATGCAATGATGTGTAGAAAACTGGAAAGTAATTATCACAGATACATCATAATTTTGATCACTGCAAAACAGTGGAACTATTTAATTTACTGCATGTGTGACAATGGCTGAATTTGGAGAACACTGAATTTTTCCTCAGAATTCTTCTGTATAAAGTAAGGTGAGAGTTTAAAAAACAAAACAAATAACTAATCCATTATTTGCTTTCTTTCCTTCTTTAATAAAGTGACAAATAGCTTAGAATGTCCAGCATCATTTGCCTGCTTATATTTAAAAGTACGTAAGTAAACAAATCCAGCTGCAGACACCTTTTGATCAGATCCCTGTACTATTTTATTTAATCTCCAGAATGCTCAGGAAGCCCAAGCAACAACCCTGCCATTCTCAGTACAGACAGGAGCTTACAGGCAAGTCCATGATAGAAGCCAAGCAAAGTGATGGCTCCAGAGAGAGAGTGTTCTTCCTCAGACAAGCACAAGGAGGGAGAAACTCACCCTCTGCTTTCACTACAAGAATGGAAGTCTTATTTCCTTTTACATAAGTGCTTTGCATAGCCAATTTGACAAGCAAAACCATCTCCTTTTTGGTGTATTGTTAATGACGAAATCTTAAGAGAGCTCTGGTGTTTCATAAAATGATTTCAATATACATACGCGTGAAGAATCCTCTGTTGGACGGAAATTGCACTGGTTAGCAATACAAACAGCAAGATGAATTGGAGGTTCAACAAGGAGACTTGGAATTGAGTTACAGTTCCAGCTCTGCTACTACACACCATCCAGCAATATCAATTTTGCCACTTCAGTAATATATCTGAGCCTTTGTTAACCACTTAAATACATCGACATTAAATACTCAGGACAGGAACATTTACTAGTTTGTCACAGTTGACTTTACTTTAAATTTTTTTATCTACTGACAACAGGTGCTAACATCCCTTCTTAAAGCTTATAAAAATCAAATATATAAATATTCTAGTAATCTAAGGCATACAAAGCAGTGAGCAAAGACAGCAGAGAAAACCATCAATTAATTCAGCATTATGACTGGCACAGATAAAAATGCCCAAGTTCCCTAATAAATCTAAATACACTGTCATGCTCCCAAGGCTATCGTTTTATGTTACTAGTACTTGCGTCAGCATCCAAGAGGCCTTGTAAACCCCCAGCATTTGCTGAAGCTGCTTGGGAGCACAAAAAGAGCACCTCATTCCCCATCCTACCCCACAACGTTATGTTGTTTTGTGTGCACAGCTCAAGGGTGGGGTTTCTTTTTGCACAGACAGTCCTACAGTAACTTCAAAGCCTTCCACGGATACTCTCAACTAGCTGGAATAATACCTACCATATTTATTTTCCTGGGAAGTGGCACAGGGGTTTCTGGCAGGGTATGTGTTATGTCATTAGACTCTTCAGATGCTTGCCTTTGGATGGTGTCTCTAGATTGTACATTTGGAGAAAGATCTAAGGAGTGAGATTTCTGATTGGCCTCTGAGGGCTGAGGCTTCGGTGATGCTTCTCCACCTTGAGTTTTAGCCAACAGCTCTCCTAGCTGAGGTTTTGGAGGAAGGTCCTTCATTTGCGGCTTTGGAGGTAAGTCTCCAAGTTGTGGTTTTGGTGGCAAGTCTCCTAGCTGAGGCTTTGGGGGTAGTTCTCCAGGCTTTGGGGGTAAATCTCCCACTTGAGGTTTTTGAGTTAATTCCAGAGGCAGAGGCTTTGGGGGCAAGTCTCCAGGTTGTGGTTTCTGTGGTATATCGATGGACAGTGAGGGCTTCTGAAAGATTTCCATGTGCTGATGGGATTTATCTATTGAAAGATGATGACTGGTTTCTATTTTTCTTAGTGCCACTAAAACAAAAAAAGCATAACAATGGTTTTTCACAATCTCATCTTAATATTAAAGAACTTAGGCACATATCAGAACTGTAATTATGTAATGACCACATGTTCACTGAGCCCCGATAACTGTTCATATGTCCTCCTAGTCTATGACAAATGCAAGGTAATACATCTTTACTTAACCCTCATTCAGTGAGGTCTCATTTCATTGCTTCTACTGAAGGCCAGGAGTGCTTAATCCAACAGCTACTAGGTGTCAATTTATACATTAAGTACTTAAGGTGAAATGAAGTGATTGCTTTTTGGATCTAACAAACAAAAAAATTAAAAATAAGAAAAGATGTGTTTTGCAAAACAACCTATCAACCCACCGATGTGACTGCAATGAAAATTCTCTTTAATGCCAATTATTCATATATACAGTTGAACTCCATACAAAAAAAGCGCCAAGTCTCAGGATTAATACCTGTAAAATCTTAAAGAGCGTGAGTGAGCATGTATGTCTATACAGTGTATAGAATAAGCGGCACTATAGATAATCAAACTAAAACTAATAAAAAATAAATAATTGTAAATATTTACAATTTAGTAAAGATGAGAAGTTTTAAAACAGTGTATTCTGCAGTTTTTATGGAAGAAAATTGAAAATAGCTTTTCAAATAGTTTTTTCTCAGTGTCATGCATTGATTCTACTGTTAAGTTCCCTAAAAAAACTTGACTGAAATCTACCTTATAAACAAAACCAAAACAACAAAAAAACCCCAAACCTCTCAACTAAACAACTCTATACTAAAGCAGATGAGGGGGAACAGGAAAGAAAAAAAAAGTTATGACCCATGATGACAAAAAGAGAGCCAAGGAGAATC